ATGAAAACGGCGGGAATTGAATAAAGAGATCGGTCATTAAGTACAGAAAAGATCCAAGGGAGCAGTTGGAGGAAACACATGCGTCTTTACTAATTTTATCAGATTGCTTGCTTTTATTGCGCGTTGCTACCGGTATTTTCATAGTGCGACAGTGAATGGTTATTGATAATATGCTAATTTACCCGTAACGTCATCTCCCTCATGATTTCCCGAGGTTCTTTACAAGTCACCATGAAAACTGTTTCACCTTGAAAAATATTTCCCCATGTTTTGATAACGAAAATAGTGCACATTCAAAATGTCTATATATAAAAAAGCTGATAAGATTGTGTAAGGGTGCTGATCTAAAGGTATGTTAATTCGGTGATGATTTGTTAGGGTTAATACTAAAATTTGATATAATTCGTGTTTAACTGCAGAAATATGGGCTATTTTCTATTTAAAGTATAGTTAAAGTTGTGRAAATGACTGATTTGCTTTCAACACTAGATTGTGTAATTAAATGATTAATGACCGGGACATTAGTATCCACGGTAACCATCGTGTCTTCTGAGGTATGGACGCGGACAACTTTCAGTGTTATTTGGAACAACCACAGTTAGTTACTAACTATGGAAGAACTTTCTCGTCAGGATCATGCGACTCGGCGATGGAAGCCTCTGCTAGCGAGGAAGTTCCAATTTGTATAAAAGCAAACAAAGTAAACGACAAAAACCAAAACATAAACCAAGCAAAAGAACAAGCACACAAAAGCCGGTATCTTTTCAAATGGGTCGCAAAAAGCGGATTGCGCATGAGAAAATCCGACGAGCGTCCCTAATATAAGTTCAGTGGTACTGACTTTAGCGCGTTGTTTATTTACTTAAAGATATTGTTTTGTATTGTTATTGTTGATATTGTGTTGTTTCACAACAAARCAAACTTACACTTGTACGTAAATAATGAGAAAAATCAACAGTTAACTAAGATCAAAGATATTTTAAAGCCAACAGTATCTAGACGCTCAGGTTAATAAACCATCGCCAGTGAAAACTACAATGGAAGGGTTGATCTAAAACAATGGAAAAGGAAAAAAAGATGCTTCCAGGCCATGAAAGAATTGCTTCAATTTTCCAATATTCGATTTTTTTGTGCGCGGATTCCATGTACAATGCAGACTCTGTAATGGTAAAAAGTGCCAAAAAAAGACAAAAAGACAGATCAAATAAAGCTGTTCCTATCTTGGGCAATTCCGCATATAATTTCAAATTATTATATTTTTTTTTGCAGTTATATGTTCTACCTTGAAATCAGATAATAGTGACTGAACCGCGGTACGATTAACTTTTACCGGCGACTTGCGCATTTTTTATGGAATAAAAGCTTAAAAACCTCATGTTGAAAAAAAGGAATGATTATTTTTCTCCAAGCTATTTTAGCCTACCTTTATTTAGTATACTGTTTGGCAATTGTAAAAACGGGCTGTCTGTGGTCAGATTGAGCGCAACATTTATAATAACAGCTAACTTTCCTAATACTTGCAATAACTAGCCATTTATAACTTAAATTCAAGAGCTTTTATGCCCTTGTTCCTTCTCTCATTTAATTTATAACACGATTTTTGAAATTATCTTATAAATAGGCCATTGAAGTCTCATAGAAATCATCGACGATATAATAACCCTTAGAAAATAGAACAAACATCACGCTAGAGATCAGTGTTGTCGAGCTCATGAGGCTCTAACTGTACTCAAAAGTATAAAAAGAACAGAAAAAAAGGCTAACATTCTCGATGTTGTTGGACAATMATTGTGCAACTGGAGCTTGGCGGGAGACTTTGAGATGAGACAATGTCACATGACTGAATAGCAATCAATCCACAAATGACTCCGTCCAAAGAAGTTTTCACCAATAATTATACTCTTTGCTTGGCGCACGCATCTGGTTGAAAACTTATTGCATTGCATCTCCATGCGGGATACTAAGTACATAGTTCTGTTGATGATAGACTTCTATGAAGAGCTAGCTGTTGCAAACAACTTTTGAAAGACATCCCTTAAACATACTAAAAAATAAACAGGGAAGGAGTTGGAAAGTGCGCATGGAGTAATTGTCAGGAAAGAACAACCAAAGAAAAACTAACAGAAGGCGATTTGAAAAGAGAGTAAAAATAAGATAAACAAGTGGAAACTTGCACTGATTACATGTACTACTTTCTAGATTAAATAAACAATGAAAAACACCTATAAATCTCCCGCAAAACTGAAATATCTTTGAATATCTATTCTTAGAACAGGCGAGTACCAGTTGTGTCGCCAAATGTTATTAAACTACAAGGAATAAATGATATCTAAACTATAATAAACATTGCCATTGTGCTATTGTTCGCCATATCGTGGTTGTGTTGATATTAAAGGGTTAACATATGCTATGATATACAATGTAATCGAACTCCAAATGTAAAYACAAAAAACTAAATTACATCTTTAAATAGTAGTTTTTCCTATTGATGTAAGAAGCCTTAGAAATAATAAAGTAAGTTTACCGATTACATATGATATTTTGACATGCATTGGAACTGAGCTAGATTGAAAGCATTCTCGACGAATAAAGATGAAAAAACATCGAAACTTAGACTACATGTAGTTTCTGTACTTGATGGAAGACTAAACATCACCGAAATGTTCTTTTTTGGGGAAACCTGGACTTAAAAATAAGTTTATCTTCAAACTATGGGAAATCAGTCCTTGAATGGCTTTGTGAAAAATGAATACAAAATGCAAGAAAGATTTCATTTTGGGTTTCATTAGAGCATTCCTTTTTCCCAGGTGTATATAAGTAGTCTGCTATTTACGATTAGCCTCTGATTGGCACATTTTTGCATGTTTATAGATTCAATCTTCTATGGTATTATTACTATTTTCMATCGCTTTCAGGCGCAATTCTGACACCTTTTATAGGCCAAGATTTGTATTTCTAAACGTCTTACTTTTCCAGTTCAAAAATAAKCGCAAAATAAGAGGATTTCGACAAGTTTTTCGTGGTTTGTTTAAGCCMGATTATTGATGTGGATTAGCYCGATAGGAGAAACGTCTCGCGTTGAAATTCACCTTGATCTTTTCCGCGTTTCATAATTCAATAAACTCAAAGTCAATTGGTACTTTTTAATATTCTAGATTTGAAGAAATGTTTTGGACAAACYCCAACAAAGAAAACACCTCCTTTAACTAAAACCTTTTCGAAAAACTAATGATTTATCGGATGTGAAAGAAAAATTCCAGAGTTTATTCTGAGCAAGTAAGCGTTCTATCTTAAGAAGGCTGGCGAGRAGCCATCAAACTTTGTTAAAAACGAATCTTTTCGCCTAAAAAGCCTTAACAAAAACTATGGTTTAATGCAATACCTTCAAATAGACATAGCCAACACTTTTAAAGAAACAAGCACCAGACCCGCATTATTTTGATAATTTCTTCTAGAATAATTCAGCTACCACAGTTTTGATTTGAGCTTTTCCTTGCCGAAAAATACATTTCCAAAAGCTGCGAGAATCTAAGGAAAGTCATTTGACATTATTATTATTATTTAAAAGAGAGAGATTTTGAAAAAAAGAAAGAAAGAAACTAAAACATAAGCACACTATTTATGACGTGGAAGCATTAGTGAGCAATATTAGAAATCTCGTTCACATTTACAACAATTATCATTCGTTTTAACACTTAAAAAATAGTCTCAAAATCGACTTTAATAGCATTTTATCTTTTAATTCACTCAATAGACTTTTCAGATAGAGCACCTATCGTATTTATCACACGTACTAATATCACACAAATTAATTTGATCGACTAGAAAACATCTACTAATATCAACKGACTATGCACCAGAACCACACAATCGTCGGCCGGAGGAGTTGTTAGCTAAAATATTATACAAGCAAAAAAGGCTGAAGTGTTTTAAAAGGAGGATCTTTTGACATTATTTTTAGCTAGTCCGGGTTAACAATATGGTTTAKATTGCTAACTTCTGGCATAAAAAAAACATGATTCTGTTATGGGAATATTTTGATTATTTTTCAGGACATACACTGCGTCGATTGTGATCTGTCAGTCTGATAAGCCAAGGCATTAGCTACTACAAAAGAATCGAAGTACCGGAAATGAAGTGATTGTTGCGATTTTTATGATTATTACKGAATTAGCATGATACTTTGCTCGGCTAGGATAGTCTTGGGTATAAAATGTCAACGGAAATAGGGCTAAACTAGACTTATTCTTTGATTTTTTGSAGAGAAACGACTTTTTTTAGGCTTTCTCGATACTGAAGACGAGGTATATGATATATGTATYGTATATAATCGAAACTTTGCTATAAAAACAAAGAATAAAGAGAAAATTTTCTTCCATCCACATTTCGTCCAAGTCTTTCAAATGAAGTGCATGTGCATTTTGATTTGTTGTACAGAATTTTCTCCTACACTTTTCATTAACACGCTTTCCCCTCTTCCTCTTTTGAGAGCGTATCTAATGATGCACAAAATATCGAAATATTAAAGCATCCTCGATGAGATTTGTTGGGTTTGATAACTAATCTTATCAAATCTGAATAATCGTCAAACCACTCGCATTAAGACAGCTATCGGCTTTTTCTTGCGATAGCAAATTAGCACTGAGTACAGATTAAATATTAAAGCACTAACAAAAGACTATGAGAGCAAAATAGTTCAGATTATTCTCAAATGGTTGGCGGAATCCATTACTTGTACGTATAACAAGCCTTATTTTAAAAGTCTCAAGAATTTCTGTGGTTTTTGTCATTTTTGATTCAAGATAATTACGTTTATGATTCTTCGGTCGTCTTTGTACAAAATGATTTAAAGGCGTCATTAACAAAGTGGTTTTAGTAATTTTCATTCGTATGAAGCAGAATACTCAACGCGTATATCAATTGCATAACACATTGTTCAAAATTCAGCCTAGAGATTAAACTTATTTCWTTTTTGTGCTAAAAACAAAAGTTAGAGCCGCTAGAATGCTAACGATTGACAAGAAGAACTCCTTAAGGAAGGTCAACCATTTATTTATGAGTTCAAAATCTGTGTTCGCTTTTTTTTTCTGTTTTATTTTTCTACCGAGGGACTATTTGGTCGGGAAAAATTATCTCGGACTGTATCGACTTAGAAATCATACCAGCATTGAAATTTTGGACGGAAGTTCGAAATCAAAAAGTCAAGATGGCCTTAAGATTCCGGGCTTTAGTCATGAAAGTTAACGGTTTATTGTTAACGGAAGTTTTTCATTTGGGTCTTGTAGGCTTCAYATAATTGACACAGCGGGGCATAGCTGACGGCTTGCGTGGATCTTATTATTAATTTTGACAAAACTTCAACTACAGCTTAGATTAATCAAGTTAAATAAAGGTTCGATAAAGAAAACCATTGCTTTTTGAACAACTGCCTTAYACATAACTAGTTATAATGCAAAGATGTCTTGAAAATCAACTTGTTATTCTACTTGCAAATCTATTTTCGGTTGGACACAGGAGATGACCAACTATTAGACGCACAAATGACTTTTCCTCTTCTTCATTAAACAAAGAMAAAACTTTCTAAACAAAGAATAAAGTAAATATAGATCATCAGACGATCAAAAATCGTGAGAAATTCAAGATTYTACKGAAGAGATTTTCTCGGAGATTCTTRAAAAATATTRTAAGGTTATTGACACTGCACAAAGAAAATGAACAATTCTGTTTTTACTTTTTTGATAGCAAATCACTGGAACGGCTGASATCGTATGTCTAGTTTATTACATGCGAAAAGTTGACAGAGTTGAGGGCTCAYCGAATGAAAATTGAGTGCAACGGTGTATTCATCTGACAACAAGACCGCCGAGTTCTAATTGTTAGTTTTAGAGGATATTAAACTTCAGTTATTCAACTGGTTTGACGCCCAAGCTTTTTGCATATGGACCTCATTTGGTAGCTAAAATCATTTTGTGCCTTAGGAAAAATCTTTTGATTAGTCGAATAATTTGACGTAATTTGCGTGCATTCTAGAAACCAACCTCCCTTGTGGTCTGTGTATATAGGTTTAATTGTTCATAGACGTCTATGTTGGTTGTATTTTTAAGAATATACTTTGTCAAGATGGCCACGACCGTTTCTTTGCCCCGTCGTTAAATCTTTTCAAAACTTGCCCTCTTTTAAACTATTTCTATTTTGAGCGAAAAGCTTTGTTTTAGTTCTGTTCTATTTTCTTAAATAGTCCCTCGATTGTCGTTGAATATAATTAATCAAGGATCAATTTTGTGGAGAGATCGATAAAAACAGATAGACTTAAATTGTTTACTGTTTTTTTTATGTCTGTTATTGATAGCTGCCGGACATATCTAAGCTATCTAGCAACTTAAGACATTCTTAGACCATCATCATCAGTATCTTAGAACTCTTTTAATTACTCAACACTCTACCGTACGTAACGTCATAAAGATTTCCGCATTTGATTTCTTCATGTTATATTTTACACTAGGATGCAAAGTACCAAACTTTATAAAACCAAAGTTTTGTTGATTGTTTATCTTTTCTATAGGGATCACTTTGTCATTCTTAACTTAAGCAACTTTAACAACACTTTATCGAAAGAAAAGATCCTTAAACTCATTTTAAACTTAGAAAATAAAGGACGCTTTATGTTTTCTTGCGCAATGATTTAAATTGCTCCATCGACAATTTCTCAAAGTGTTATTAATGATCAAATTTTGTTCTTAGTCTTCTCGAGAAGGGCAAAAACAACCACTTACATTCAATTAAAGACATGCATGGACAAACGGGATATTAATTCAGAACAACAACTTCCCTTGTTTAAACCACGCAYAAAAWGAAAGGGTTTTGGTAAAAGAATGTTGTTRGCAGGATTAAGTAAGAATTGAATCAAGAAATAYATATCATAACGGTAACTTGCTGAAGCTCACCAAACTACCAAACAATAGCCAAATTACACACATAGATAAAGGATCGAATATGACAGCTGCTTTGTTGTATGTATAAGTCATTATGAGATAAAATACAATGTAATTAGTGCCTTATTATCATAACAGGCAATTAGATTAGCATATACCATTGTCAAATCCATCTACTTAACATCATACATATTCAAGAGTCCACGCGTGGCGAATGTTTGTTGATGACTAGAACGAGTCATTCAAGCTTGTTTAGAGAAACCTCACAGATTGACATCTGCACTAAGGGACTGTCTACAAATAGGGCCATTCGCATAGTYGGTACCCACACATGAATCAGCACTGCGCGAGACCTCACTTCGATAATACCGACTACAARTCTGCGTTCATGGATCTCTCCAGCACGCCAGTGTCTCATGGATACACCRCATATAACACGGTGGCACCAAACTTTTATCCCATGGGTTACTATCAACACCAAAGAACTCCTGAATATGGTTTACACTGCAATACAAGGAATAGCTTCATGCCAATGCTTAACCAYCACCCTCTATCACATCATCCGTATTTGACACCGACACCTCTGCAAAACTATCCAGGAAACCATGATCTCATACACGAAGGTATTAATGCGTAATGCTCTTGATTATCTTGTTGTTCTTGTGCTAATAATATCATGTTGTTATAAGAATTACACTTTAACGTGTCTAGTAATGCTTTAAAAATGCAATCAGTTAACACATTTTTTTGGTAAAAGAGCGCATTTAACAGACAAGAAGATGGCATTAAGAAACTGCAATGTAATTTCACACAAATTGGCCGTAGTCAAATTCAAATTAGAACCYTTTTCACGGTTTTGCATTCACTGTGTCCAAGTGACCGATTATTGATTAAACATCTAAATGCCTTTAATTTATTACAGATAAAAGTCAATGTGACGAGCCAAGACTGAACGGCAAAGGCAAGAAGGTACGGAAACCACGTACCATTTATTCCAGCTTTCAACTCCGTGAGTTGAACAAGAGATTTCAAAAAACTCAGTATCTTGCTCTACCAGAACGAGCAGATCTAGCCGCGTACCTTGGTCTCACACAAACACAAGTCAAAATTTGGTTTCAAAACCGAAGATCAAAGTACAAGAAGAATCTGAAAGCTGTAAACGAAGGGACGTGCAGTACCGTGAAGGAAGAAAACAACGTTAGCGATACACAGCCGTCTGGATCCCCCGAAAGATGGCAACAGTCCGCAAGCACATCGTCGGCGAAAGATTCCGGTCTCGTAACGATGGTCAATTCAAAAGCACTCATGCAGCAGCAGCAGCGTCAACAGCCATTAGATCACTGGAATATCCCTTCTTCGACTATAAAAACCTTTGTGACRGACACTATATCATCCATGATGACATAAACTGATGAACAATCTGTACATAGACGCGTAATGTTGTATGCTTGTACCTACATATATATAGATATATTTAAATGTGAATTAGAATTGATCAATTTCAATATGATGCAGGGTCAGATATCTAAAAGAAGTTGAACCTAACTTTATTGACTTGCTATCTTAAATAACGTCATTTAAGAGAATGGTAGAGGACAGCTTTTCGCATATCTCAGTCTTCCGCGTATCTTCTGCGCGCACTTGCTATATATCATAAGACAGTTACAATTGCCAGTGAGCGCTACTAAAAAATCTCTCAAAAGCTTTTAGTTCTTACTACTGGACTCGGTTTTTCAGGACTACACTTTAAGTCACATTTGATTGACGCTTATCGAAATAGCTAAAACGTCAAGTTACTCGCTTGTTGTACTTGAAAAATCATTTTCTCTTGCTTCAGTAAGAAATGTAATGCATGGCAGCCTGAACACATCTCAAATTGTAAAGAGAAATACTTATTAAGGTTGCACACTATTAATGAGTATTGAAAATCCACAGTATATTATAGCAATGTAAAATATTCTCGTTCAATAAAGTTAATATGAGCCTTATTGTACCTTTTTTACTTTTAACAAACACAATMTATCAACAACTTTTCAATTTTTCCACTCTTCAATGTTCTGGTTAGTTAATGTCCCAAGTATAATTTCCTTTTTTAAATTCCTATTTGTTAACCTAAGCTCCTCCCGAGATTTAACCACCGCGCATTGTACGCAAGTTCTTTACTGGTGAAATAAAAATTCTTTCATAAATTCACAGGRAGAAAAAACWTTTCGAGCTTACAACATGTCACATCGATGTAAAACAGACTTTATGGAGWCTAGTTTTCAGTAAACGTCCAAAGAGTCATTTCTAAAACTATCACAAGAGCACAGGTCTATTGTGTTCGATATAGAATCGCCTTTGATTATCTTTTGTTTGTTAGATTTACAAGGATGAGTTTAAACAAAGAACGAGCCATTACGACTCATCAAGACGACCATGATAACTGGTTGATAGCTAAAGGCTAAGCATGGTTGATCATTCGACCGAATCAACTCTGACATCTGGTTGTTCTTTGCCTTCAAGGCACTTAAGCTTATAATGTTAGCTGATCTAGCGAGTCTATCCAAGCTTTGATATTGTGAGTTGCCCAAAACGAAGACAAAAATCAATCACTGTTTTTTAGAATGTCATACTGACATATTTTTGTRTATGAAGACTTCTTTTTATAATCTGCGCCATACTTGAAAAGATACTTTAAAGTGGGCATCCATTCAAGTTTTCAACACTAATACCCTAATAATTTATCGAGGAGGAAAAACTCTTTTAGAACAGTTTTTCTATTCTTTCACCAACACCATCTTGAGGTGCCATTCCCCCCGCCTCAATTAATGTCCCTCATTTATTTTCACTAAAAGGAAAACACCATGAATTTATTTGTCAGTAGTACGAAATGTTTTGGCTATTCTCTGTGCTATGAGTTCTATTTTTTTAATCTCTGTCTTGCTAAACTCGTTTAATAAGCAAGGGGCTTATTGCATAGTTAATTGAATATGAAGTTTAGAAGGCATCTGTTTTACTCCGTAATTCGGTTCTTTAGAAATCCACTAAGGCAAATTAGCTTTCTCAATTCAATGRCTTATGTTGGTAAATTGTTGTTAATATAAACATTGAACTATTTGGGAATGATTAGGTGAATATCATTAAACAGCGTAATGGTCACGTTTTTTTAAAGATAATTTCTATTTTAGAGATTAATTCTGTTATTTTCAACAAGGTCCTTCAAAAATAGAAGGATTCGAAGTCTTCTTGTCGATTTATGGAAAAATGCGTTATAATAAACTAACAAAAATAGAGTCCGGTTTCCTCGTGATATCAGCTGTCCGAACAGATAAATCTCAATGGCGAGAAACCTTGATGAAATGAAGCTCAAAAATTAACAGATTTGTTTTTGTTTTTCACCGTAATCGTTGTCATTTTTTCTTTTGTTAAATAACTTTTTCGAAGACGTCCACTTTTTGTTTCATACCGAGTACTATTTCGTTTCAACCACTTATCAATGGTTCCGGCCAATGTATCCGTTCCGTGTCTAATAAGATTTGATACCAAAGACATGCATTGTTAAGAGAGTTTCTGGCTCTCCAAATCCAAAAGTTACTTTTCAAAACAAAAGGACTTTYAAAATTAACCTCAATTTTGACAAATTAGCCAAGGAGTAGSTARTGGTTTTGATGACATTGGGCATGACATGCGATATGATCATATAAAACATGAGCTTTTAATGATCTTTTATTAAGTGTCATTTTCTCGATACACGATCAACAAACATTGAGATCAATGTCTGAGAATAAGCTTAAGTTTATGGCTTATTGTGGCTATTAATTGGGGAACGCCAGAGTTCCATGTGCATTGACAAAGGAGCTATATGATCCTAACTATTCTAGCAAATTAGTGTGACTAACAAGCATGTGGATGCGTAGTTTAATATTGAAAGAAAACAAAATATTTACTTTATAAAGTTGACTTGATAATTGGTCAAGTAATTGATAAGCAAATAAGGTTACTGTGGTTGTTCTTAATGACCGCTATATCTTTTCTTGTCTATTGACCATCTATGTTAACAACCAAATACTATTATGACCAATTAGCACCTTATTTAAGATCCTTTTAAGCTCTTTTAGCCTCCTATTCACTGTAAAACGTCCTTTGCTTCGATCAGCTAAAAGCAAATGGAGTAACCACAACCACGGGTTTGTCATTCGGACGTTGGTTCGAGTGTTAGAGTGTACTGTACATATCTTCAAACGTCTTATTGATAATTAATAAATAGATACAAAATCAAGGGCTTGAAAAATCACTTTCAATGAGCACTTAGGAAGAGTTCTCTTGACCCCGACTCACAAATGCCACGAGCACGCCGGCGCCAAGGTAGACTTCTAAAAGTGATCCCAAATCACAAATAAGCAGAA